CAGGTCCCTTCTGACCCTAGAAACTATGGAACTATGAAACTATGGCAGCAGTGTCACACAAAGGCCAACTGTGCAGCCAAAGCCCACTGGCAGCTGCCCCAGAGATGCTCTGGGCTCTGCTACAGTGCCCTGCTATAATGCCCAGGTGGCCATGTTGTCCCCGTCCAGGTCTGGCAGGTGTACAGACATGGGGCTGAAGGACCAAGGGGGTAGATGCTGTCATAGGTGGCAGCAGGTGACAGCCAGGCAGCATCCCCCACTGCTAGACTGCTGCAGTGGGTAGAGGGTACAGGGGCCACAGTAGGTCAGGGCTGCTGCAGCAGTTCAGCTGACACAAGGGGCTACTGTCCCCACATGTCAATTGGCCAGGCTTCAAGCTCCTGAGATGCTTGCCAGGGCAGGTTTTTGTACTACTGGAGCCAGCACAGGTGTTGGCCTCAGGCTCTAGCTCCCCTTGGCTGAAGATCCAGGAGGAGCTGGGCAGGGTCAGTTTGCCCCTAGTGGCATAATTTGCCCCACACCAAAATGCATGTTCAGGCATATGCGCTGAGGCAAAAATCTATTGCACAAATTTGTGCTGCTCCTATTAGAGCTGCTGCTTGCACACATGCCTGCACGTGTGGATGTGCCCTAATAATCTCAAATAATCATAATTGTAAACATTATTGCAAGCAAACATTTGTATGTCATCCTTGCTAGCCATCTCTGAAATTTAGGTTGCTACTCTATATGAGTATGTTATAAAATAACATTTAGGTTGCTACATTTGTGGTGCTCTGGCCAGGTGCCGGTCGAGGGCTAATGTGGTCCCCATCTTTAAACAAGGGAAGAGGGAGGACCCGGGCAACTATAGGCCCATTAGTCTTACTTCAATCCTGGGGAACCTCTTTGAGAAGTTTATCAAAGAGCCCATCAGTGATGGGCCAGCAGCAGGGATGATGCTCAAGGGCAACCAGCATGGTTTCATTAGGGGCAGTTCCTGTCAGACCAACCTGATTGCCTTCTACGATCAGGTAACAAAATCACTGGACGCAGGTGTTGCGGTAGTTGTAGTCTTTCTGGACTTCAGGAAGGCCTGTGACACTGTCTACCACCCCATTCTCATTAAAAATCTAGGTGACTGCAGCACTGATGCCTACACAGTCAGATGGGTTGCAAATTGGCTGAGGGGTTGCACTCAAAGAGTGGTGGTGGACAGGTCATTTTCAACCTGGAGGGATGTGGGCAGTGGGGTCCCCCAGGGCTTGGTCCTTGGGCCCGCACTGTTCAATTTCTTTATTAGTGACTTGGACGATGGGGTGAAGAGCAGCCTGTTCAGATTCGCAGAGGACACCAAGATTTGGGGTGAGGTGGGCATGCTAGAAGGGAAGGACAGATTACAGCAGGACCTGGACAGGTTACAGGGGTGGGCAAAAGAAAATAGGAATGGGATTCAATACTGACAAGTGCAGGGTGCTGCACTTGGGCAGTAGAAACCACCAGCATGCCTATAGGCTGGGGAATTCCATTCTTGAAAGCATGGTGGCAGAAAGAGGTCTTGGAGTCATTACTGACTCCAAGATGAATATGGGCCGACAATGCGAGAACACAGTCAGTAGGGCTAACCGTACCTTGTCCTGCATCCACACATGCATCACAAGCAGGGCCAAGGAGGTGATCCTCCCCCTCTATGTGACACTGGTCAGGTCACAGCTGAAGTATTGTATCCAGTTCTGGGCACCACACTTCAGGAGGGACGTGGACAGCATTGAGAGGGTCCAAAGGAGGGCCACTTACATGATCCGGGGACAGCAGGGCAGACCCTATGAGGAGAGCCTATGAGACCTTAACCTGTTCAGCCTTCGCATGTGAAGGCTGAGGGGGGACCTTGTGGCCATCTATAAACTCAGCAGGGGGGACCAGCAGGGACTGGGAGAAACCTTTTTGCCCCGAGTGCCTCCCAGAGTAACAAGAAATAATGGCCATAAGTTGTTAGAGAGTAGGTTTAGACTAGACATTAGAAGGCAGGGCGGCTAGGATCTGGAACCAACTTCCAAGGGAAATGGTGATGGCTTCTACCCTGGGGGTCTTTAAGAGGAGGCTCTACGTTTACCTGGCTGGGGTCATTTGAGCCCAGTTTTCTGTCCTGCCCAGGGCAGGGGTTGGACTAGAAGATCTACAAGGTCCCTTCCAACCCTACATCTATGAATCTATGATTATTAAAAATGCATTCACATGACAAGCTTTAGGCATCAAAATTTTAAAATGTTGATTTCTACTTATATATGTAGTTGAAAATGTATCAGAAACAAGCAAAATGAATCTTGGCTTTTCAGATACAGCACTATATAGTCATTTAACTTTACCTGTCTTTAGTAAATAATTAGTTAGTATAATCAGCTCGCACAAACATGTGAGTAGCTAATTCATCCCTTCTTAACCACTTCAAATTTCTTTGTTGTTGGAGTCATTTGAAATAAATCACAAATAGAAAACATTTTATTTCCAGTATGTGTCCTTGCAGTATGTGCAATTCTTCCCAGAGTAAGTTTGAGATGACAATCACAGTCTTAGTATACAGTAGCTTTTTTACAGAAATTTTTGTGTGTGTATTTTCTTGTGGGGAAATTAGGTTTGCTAGCATTCAGTTTTTAATACAAAAGATTCAGGTTATGGTAAGTCTTTATCCACTGGAAATGTCCGTGTAACTTTGCCATTTCTCTGCTATGTTATACTTTGCTGTGCTGTTCATTATATACAGTAACATTTAGGTTGCAAATACTGACGAGTTAGAAAATCCCAGAGTCAATTTTAGCTGTGTGACTATGTTATAATACTGTCTTTACATCATCACATGCTGTTTTTCCACAGGGCTCCTATCTTATTCAGTGCACGGGATAGATAGTACTCATTTAATGAGCACTTCAGTATTTGCTTTTATTTATGGGCTCAGCACTTATTTACTGCATGTTATCCAAACTCCACTCTGAAAAGAGAACTATTAATTTTCACATGGACTTTTTCTATGATAGTATCTGAATGCTTCACAAACATTAATTACTTCATATTCACAATAACTTGGTGAGGTAAGGGGATATAATTATCTCCATTTTACAGACAATAAGCTGAAGCACAGTGATTTAAAGTTAAATGTGTCTACTAATTTTGGGTGCCCAAGCTGAAATAATTAGGAATCTGGTCCTCCAGAGTACCCTGCATTACAGAGCATTTTAAACGTTTAAGAGTAGTTCCAATTAGTTCATTTCCAAATCTGATTACTCAGCAGTTTTGCAAAGTAGATCAGGGACTTGAGTTGGGCATGCAGAAAATGAGGAAACAAGGAATGTCCAGAAAATGTTGATGGACCTAACAAATGTTACCTTCTTTAAAAAGCATTTTAAGTGAATTGCCCAGCATCACATAGTAACTCTGTTCAGAGGCAGGGAGAGAATCCAATATTTCAGAGCAGCCTTCAGCAAGAACTGAGAGAGTTCTTTCTCTTCATGCTGGCCCTGTTTTTTCACCACACATGTTCAAACTGCTGCATCTAATGAGGCAAGGCTCCTATAGACTAAAAGCCAAAGCTTAATGCTGGGATTGGAGGGGAACAATTTTAGCAGCAACTCTGTTCTCCTGATGCTAGAAATTACAAATTGTGGACAGACTTGATAAAGAGCACACTGGCTCCTTTTCTTATATGGTTATATAAAGCCACAGTGCTCCCCAAATGTGTACAAAAGAGATACTTGGTATGTTCTCCATGTTTACTTTTTCAATGACATGTATTATTGGCATATGTTTACTTTATTTTTGTGTTTTACAGTACAAATTTATGATTGCCATTGTGTCTTTATGGTTTGTTTCTTGTCCGCTTTATTGATCCTTATTTTTTTGACCTTCCTGCATAAACATTAAGGAAGAAATTCAGCATTAAGAAAGAAATTAAGAAGGTGTCTCTAGCAGGCAAGTATAACTTACCAGACTTTATTGAATGCCTCCAAGTGGATCCATTTCTGAGTCATGACTTAATCTTTGAGCTGAATTTCTCATTGCGCCATTATATCTAAATATGAGTGAGGCATAGAGAGTTGGACTGAGCACAAAATTATTACTTCCTTTGTAGCTGTATTTTTCCAGATAACAATGGAATTTGATATTAGGGGTTTGGTCGCTTGCTTTGCTCAATTTCTTGCTGACCTTCTGATGCTCTAAGAAAAATATATACCTATTATAATATTTAACAGAAGGGAAGCATGTTTTCTGCATTGCATACAAGTACTGAACACATTATTCTGAATTTGATGGTTGTTGTTATATGTGTCCTTATGTTCGAGTTTCTGTATATACCTACTCTTAAAAGCAAAAGGAAAAGCAAGATAAATTCAATTTAAGAACAAGTTCTGTCTCATCAGCACCATCTCTCAGTAATTATACCTGACAGATTGTCCGAGTAAAGTGATAAGCGATCTAAGAAAATTAAGTGTTACAAATTTCTCCCCAGCAAATAGAATTGTCTACTCTTGAAAGCAAAAGTAATCTGTTTTTCAGTTCTCTCCTAATAGTTACACCTTATTAAGGGTCAGTTTCCTAATACTATGCTTGATGTTTCCTTGATTTAATATATTTTTGCCTAAATGTCTAGTAGCAGGGGTTTGGGTAGGTTTCTGTTATTAAAATACACCGTGAAAAGAGGTATATAAATGAATATGATTATATACTCCTATAGCACCCAATACCCATGACATCTGAATACTTTATACATATTGTATATGCTACACTGTAAGGAATAGAAATAATATTATCCTTATTGTACATGTGAGGGAATTTTGGCAAAGACAACGCCCAAAATTCATGAAGGAACTCTTTGGAAGCCGGACCCATGTTACTTACCTGACCATCCTTCATTTCTACTTGAATTTTTACATGAAT